ATGTAGCTCCTGACATTCATTTTCCATTTACAACAGAGTTCTCATCAGCCAGTCGCACAACTTCAGAGAGATTCCGAACCAGAATCTGTCAGGTAAGTTTTTTTGCCATGTTCTTATCAGTTCACAGGGTTTATCATGTTGGGACACTTACAAAAAGAAGGACAAAAGTACTCTGTAACACATGAACGTTTTGCTATATACTGTACTGTTTGAATGGTCAAAATTTAAGATAAAGTTGGAAAGTTTTAAGTTGCAGAGATGTCTCTAAAGTGGAGAATGGGAAAATGAAAAATGGGAATTAAGTGTCACTTGAACCCTAGCCCTATCAGTAACTTGAATTGTAATTCTTTGTTTTGTTCTCAATTTTCATTTATGATTTTCCCATTCCCCGTGACTTGTTTCCCCAATCCCTGCTCCCCATTTCCTGTTTTAGTAACACCCAAGTTAAAGTCATCTGGTCTGTAGTTAAAAGGCTTTTACCTTGCCTTATGCTAAAGGCCTGTTTGGTCATGCCATAATCAAAAACATACATGTATGTCTCTCTCACGGAGAACCTAGAATCATCTTGTATTATAGTAAAACACACTCTGTCTGTTACTTCAGTATACTTCAAAGGTGCTGTGTTTTGTTAGAAGACTTTCATTTGTCAAGTATTGCAAAAGGAACTTGAGAATAATGTAATATTACTTTTGTCATACATGTAACAAGAAAATGGGACAAAAGAAGAAATATTAGTCCCAGCTTAGTGCATACAGACTCATGACATCTCAGACATGGGTCAGGAGCTTTAAAAGGACTTGCTGTAAATACATCTACAAATCAGTAGACTGGAGAACATGTCTAGGCAACACTGTAGGGTTGACTGACAGCCTAATTGATACAATGTTATTGTTATTGTATACTGACATTTTTAAGTTTGAGGTCACTAAGTCTAACTGTGAGGTAGAAGTTTTATTATAATGTTGGTACTAATTAAGCACCATAGACAGCAGTTTGTCCTTGATAGCAAATCCTGCTTGGCATAAATCTGCTTGGTGCAAGAGCAATTCTCAAGTGATAACTGCCGCACCCTCTCTACCCTTGGGAGGTGTGGTTTTAATGCTTGTGGACATGTTGTGTTCAAAATTAATAGAGAGCTTTAGATTCTAAGATGAGTATGACAACGAGTAGAAGATTTTCTCAGTACTAAGTAGTACTCGCCTGTGAACCAGCATCATTTTGGGGGGAAAACGAGGTAGCCATCATCACTCTACTACGAGTTTTAGCGAGAATGTCGTGGTGGCGAAAACAAGATAACAAATGTTAGGAGTTTGATCATTTTGCGATCGGGAGAGGGTGTAACCTCCTTCACTAAAGGTAACAGTGATAACTTTTGTAGTGAAAAATGGTAAATGGACCTTTCTGGAGAGTCTATATTTTGAGAATAGGTGAAAAAACTTTAAGTCAAACTTTGTGCTCGTAGTCGACCTCATCCTTGAATCTAAAGGTCTCCTATTTTTATCCGCGAAAAGGAAAGGAATTACAATTTTTTTGAAATAATATACAGTGTATCTCATTTCAGGAAATGGAGGGAAGAAAAGGCTGCCCTCCTCAGTAAAATGGATAGTGAAGAAAAAGAGCAAATAGAAGAATGGCGTGAAAAAGCTAAAAAGGAACTTCATGACTGGTATGAAAGACGAGATGAACAGTTAGGAAAAACACAAACAAGTAATAGGTATGTTTTTTTTTGCCACGGTTTTCTTCTTGTCTCTTAATTTTTTGTAAACACAAGCTATGGCTGTATGATATGTGTACAATTTTGGGATTTTACATAGAGCTTCTCAAAACCAAATCATTTTGGCTTGAACAGTACTGTGATGTAACTCAAAAGGCATGTGGTCAGTAATATGGAATCTCTTTTGATAAATAAAGAAAGATGGTAAATTTTAAGCTCGTTGAGGAAATGAGAAATACTGTAATCAACATTTCACGAGTGCAGGACAAAGAAAAATCTGAGTCTCCAACAGGTATTAAACCTACAACCTGTATGACCTTCCATACACTGGTCAGATGCTCTAACCACTGAGCTACAAAGCACTCGTAGCGAGTTGGGCCATGTACGAGGTTCATGCATGATATGCGTACTGCGTATTGCTAGGATCAGCAGTGTCTAAATCGTCATGTGTGTGTTACGTACATGCACTCAGGAGGTTTCTTGGATGCTTCTTTCATACTTGACTTAACCTCCCAGCTCTAAATGACTTCTCATAGACAGCTAGATTCACCCTCCAGTTTTTATCGTACATGTATATGCTTGTGATAAAAGGGAGAATTTGACTTCGGATCAAGACTGACTTAGGGCGAGTTTGATTGACAGTATTCCAGAATAAGAGTAAACTCCAGAGGTGACTTGTTGTGGCAGTCATTCCATTGCAGTGTTTATAAATGTGCTTAAAATAAGATATTGCAATGTATGTAGCATTTCAGTGGTCCAAAAGTCATGGTAAGTTATTGTTGATGATGTGGGAAGTGGTTGCCCAGTCTCCCAAACCAGGAACTCGTGTATAAAGTGCCCGACCAAAGCCGAGAGAATAGATTCCACCCAGAATACAAGTATTAACCCTTTAAGCCCCAATATCCACAAAAAAATTCTCCAAACTGATCTCTATACATTTCCTTACAGAATTAGTTGGGAGAAATTGATAAAAGATCAGAGATTTTTCTCTTTGTGATCATTTGATTAATTCTCATAGATGTTGCACTTGACAATCTATGGATATTGTTAGGAGAAAATTGATGTTGGTCACTATTTGGTTAACAAAACATTTGTGTGTTTCTGTTCTGGAATAAGCTCAATCAAACACACCCTTAGGGTCTACTTCTACCTGCCCCTTAATTCGTTTGTGAAAAAAGCTTAGTTTTTGTTTGGAATCTCCTTGCAGGGCAGACGAGGAGGCTTTTGTCTCAGACCGTGATGATACTTCCTCAACCGGGCATGACTGGGAACGTGTGTGCCGCAACTGTGATTTCAATCCCAAAGGAACAAAAAATACTAAGGATGTATCGCGCATGCGTTCAATCTTCTTGCAACTAAAGCAAACACCTCTTGCAAAGGATTAAACTTTGCTTCTCTTAGGTCAATTGTAAATGGATTATTTTTTAATCATCTCATGAGTTCAAGGTCTGGCTAAGTCAGGAAGAAACCGTAATCTTAGTTTCAGCTACTGCTTATCAGTATTATTATCATGTTGGTTATTTACCATTAACCAAAAGAAAATGGAAATTGTTGTTGGAATATAAATGGAACATGCTTTCTAAGCTCTCCCCTTTGGATAATTTTCAAGAGTATAGCTGATGTCAGAATTTCCTTCATCTCCTATGAACACGTAGGGCTAGGAAACAGGAAATTCTGAATCAAACTAGGTTGAATACTGATTTAACTTGAAATCAATTTATTTTACCTACAACATAGCCACTTCGGGAAAGAAGTATTTGTGGTCAGAACATTCCAAATGGGTCTTTTTGTTTCATTAACAATTTTGGGTGGTACATGGATGACCTGAGATCAAGCTCCATTTTGTTTTTCTTGGTAAATAAAATGATAGAATTAGCGCTAGCACGTTGTAAAATTTGTCGTGATCTCAAATAAGTAAATGAAAAATGTTGGTCTTAAACGAAAATAGCCAATTGAGATTTCCAAGTATGTTTTGTGAATGGTAAACAACTGTGCTGTATTTTTTGTTTGTACTTTGTTTAATGATCAAGAACAAGAAGGTAGAGGAACTTTTTGGTCTAGAATTAACGTGAGAAAATTAAGTGTTTGCTTGAGACTTAGGTGTGGAGAAAAACCGTTTTCTGTGGGTTTGTCGATTAACTTCTGCATTTACTTATGATCTTCTCTTCTTTTAACCATTCTCTGAGATTTCATTACTGCATTTCAATACTTTTTTATATCATGCATTTTGTATGGCACTTGCTTGGCTTGATTGTTCTTACCCGAAGAGAGGCAAACAACGGAGCTTTTTACTAATGTCACTCGAGCAATTTTTAAATGTGAAAATATTAATTTCTTCATAGATAAATCGTCATAAATGAATTAAGGAAACGTGCAAAGTTTGGTTAAAATCGGTGTTAAACTCTTTGAAACATGAGGTCCCAAATTTGCGAAGTCAAAGGTGTACGAGTCAGCAATCTTGCTTCTCGCATACATTTCTTTGTAGCTATTTGCAACTTTAGGCTCTCACATTTTCGAGAGTGCGCATTTTTTGTAGCGTCGCAGTTTCACCAGATTCAATGTGATAAACTGATCTATGAAGAAATATCTTTGTGTCACTAAAAAGCATTAACAGTAACTGTACCCTGAGAAAGTGGCCGACATTTCGAGACGCCACTGCTGGTTTCCCCGCGAAATGACTTTGAGGAACGAGCGCAGAAATTCTATAGTGATGACGTGTCACTACCCAGATTTGGGTAGTGCTTCTGATTGGTTAAAGCAAATTCTTCTTGCGGCACAACCAATCAGAAGCACTTCCGAGATCTGGGTAGTGACACGTCATCAGTATGGAATTTTTGCGCTCGTTCCTCAGACGTCATTTCGCAGGAAACCATTGGTGACGTCACGAAATGTTGGTTGTTTTCTCAGGTTATAAAAATTGCAATCTTGTAGACAGTAAAGCATCAGTAAAAAGGTCCATTTGAAGGGACGGATACGTAGAAAGAGATAATGACATATTTAATGAAATTGTCACTCCTCTAACGTTTTCTTGCTAATACGTCCTCTGATTCATCAAGAACATTGTGATCCATGTAATCCCAAAATCAACCAAACAATTCCTTGTCTAGCAATGTTACTGAATTTTTCAGTAGAACAAACAATTTCGAAATACGAGCATTAGAAGCAAACATGGCTTTAATTGTACTAGAAAACCCAGCGTAACTGGTATTAAAAGGTAGTAGAAAATAACGATAGTTTGCCTTTGTTTGAGTATATATGTTGTTAGGGCTGGAAATCACCTAGTTATCTGGCTTTTCCGGCTTCCGCCTAGCCTGCGAAACAAGCTTTTTTGCGCGAGTTCCTCAAGAAGGTCGGGACACAAGTTTATCAGTCCCCGTTATAACTGTCACGTGTTAACTTTAAATAAAGAGTCTTCACTTCACTTCACACTTCACGAGAGAAAAAAAAAAGGAATTGAGGGAACGTTCGCGCATTAACTTGATCGGAAAGTCTTGCTACGCAGACTAGCTTCCGCCTCCCGGCCTCACCGTTGGCCCCTCGCGCGGGTACGCTGCCTAAATCCTTATTTGGAAGAAAACTAAGAGGCGACTCGTAGTCTTTAGGCGATGTCCACGCCATAACGGATAACTCTTACGCTGTCACCCTCGCGTGATCAAATACCCTGTTCAGAACAAAGGGACCCAAAACCCATATCCTGTCAAGCTCAGGGAGAATGTTACTATGGTAATTTCTCGCGCTTCACAAAAAGTAACGAAGAGGATGGGGTGTATGCGTAATTCTCTTCTAACTCGGTAGTGATATCAACTTTTAGTATCTGCATATTCGGATTAGAACTTAGGCAGTAAAAAAACTGTTGTAGACATTCTCATTTTGTAATTATCCAAAACGTGTTTTTACTCAAACGCTAACAAATTCTCTTTTGGCGTTAGCCCTTTCACGAGACCCGCCTAATTCCAATCGAAGCGGGTAATGACTACACTGACTCCTGAGAGAAAAGGCCACCTTGTGGGCTCGGCAAGGCGTGAGAATAACGGGGAAAATAATTACTACCTCAATTCAATTCTTTTTCCCACTTTTATCCGGGAGCTTTCTTGCCTTTTCACTCTATCCATCACTGAAGCGGATCAATTTAGGTTTCCGGGAAGCTGCCAACCTATCCCTCCCCTAAGCCATCATTTTGCCCTAAGCGAGAACTAAGTGTTAATGCTAGCTTAGGGGAGGGGTAGGTGGGCAGTTTCACAGAAACCTAAGCTATACCGTTCACAGCCGCTTAGTTATTTAAGAGGAGGGCTTATACGGGAGGGGCTTATATCTGAGGGGCTCAATTCCTATTGGAGGGGGGCTTATATCCGGGGGGCTTGTAATCGGATGGATCTTTTGTTTACCGGTTGTTGAGCTTATACTGGCCGAGGGGGCATATGAGTGGGACGGGATCTTACAAGCGACAGTGTACGGTATTTGCGAGTTTCAGAACACTTTCCAAGCCTCCTCGACGCAAGCCTCCATTGATATGCCTTCAGTTATTTCTTGGCCCGATTGAATTTCCCAGACCTTATGTACTAATTTTTCGTGAAACATTTCGCATTCCCCGTAAATAAGCCTTGTAAGAAAAACTTAGAAAATCGAAAGCTGTCCCAAACCAAGTCTTCACAATCGCACATAGATAACTGGACCATTGCCGGCTAACTTCCAAGATAAGTGGATACCTGCTGGTCTTCCTGATCCCATACGGAAAAGCCCGCAATAAATCATCCTATAAGATTCAACAGTCCAGTGTTAGTTAGGTTACTGCAAAACGGGCAACAATAAACTTTAATTAAGTACAGTTAATTTCTTTAACAAAAAACGCCGTGCAACTGCAGAATGTGTTGAAAAGCGATGTTATGCGTTTTACCGCCCGCGTTCAAACCTGTCTTGCAACAGATAAAGGTTGAAGCGATTTGCGTGAATGATAAAATTATGCGGGAGTCATGCCATACATGAGAGTTTCAACAAATTTCCCTTGGGCCGGTAAAACGCGCAACATGTACAGATTTTGTTGCAAAAAGTAAAACTGCTCTATTTTTTGCAGGATAGGTTTGAAAGTGGGTGGTAAAACGCGTAACATCGCTCTTTAACTCATTTTGCAGCTACTGTTGGAAAACAAGTTGCACAGTTTTTAAAAATTTGTTGTCCGTAATTATGACGGTAAAACAAAGAATTTTCTGTCAGCTTGTTGAGGGCGAAACAGTTGTCCATGTCTGCCCCAGGTGACATGGCTGTGCGCATGCGTAACGTACAAGCTATAATTATTAAACTAAGGAGTTCGTAGTATGCTTCCTTGTTTTTTGGAGTGTCCTGGTCGATCTAGCATTTAGCAAACGCCGGGTTCACTAAGTTACGAACGGAGCACAGAAACGCTTGAATCTGTGTTTTATTCGTGCCCCCTGTCTTTCTAAGAAAAGGGTTTATTTCTTTAATTTCCTTGTCAGCTGTAGTCAAGAGCCATTTTTAACCTTTAACTTTATGACTCTAAATATAATCTCTCTATTATCAATTTTTGCGTTATAGATTCGGTATCGAAATTAATGTTCGCGACAGTGTTTTTATACGGATGGATAATTTTGTTGATTATATATATGTTTATCAGTATTGTGATATGTTATAAAAAAATGCTGTTTTTTCGCAAAACAAAATGACCGGGATCGAAACCATGACGTCAAGAAAGTAAAATTTTGGAAACTGGTGACCCTAAATTGCTATTTTACACATACGCATCAAAATTCAAGTATCTGATCATTATTTTAACACTTTTTCAATTCAACAGCCAAATAATAATAACGCTTAATCCCGTATCGGACTTTTCTTTTACACTTAGGGATAAAATATCTGTAACTGCTTTTGTTCCAGAAATTCAGTCACTATTCATAAACGAGGAAAGTGAAATGCTTATCTTGTTACAAGTACAGGAGCGTTAAAGAACACAATTTTTTTTTAGCAAACAAGAACCTCTAATTTTGTCCAAGAGGATCCTTTAGAATGGCATTCTGCGGTTTTGTTAGCTTTATGCACAATATGCGCGTTTCTTTCCGTACAGAGAAATGCTAAGGAAGTTTATTTCGGACCGCTTTGTACAGTCGGTTCTCGGCTTCCTCGAAATCATCTTCTTTACTCAACGAAAGTTTAAAAACTTCTTTCATTGTTTAACCACCTTGTTTTATAAACTTTGGATGCTAAGAAACTCCAGTCGACGGATTTTATGAGTAACAATGCACTGCAGGCCCTCATCGCTAACGCAACTCAACAAATGAGATACGTATTTACCGTACTATTGATGCAAGAAGTTCAATGAGTAACAACATGACTATGCTAACCCCTCTCATATCAAGAAAAGAGTTTTCCTTGATACATCACTGAACTTCAATTGTTGTCTGCCACCAGGATTTAGCAAATCTACCGCGAATTTCCGGCATTCAAAAGCAGCTATAATGACGGTGCGAAAGCTGTACTAGACGTAAATATCCCGGTTATTAAAGGATTATGATTTCATAATTAACACAAAATTGAATTGCCAAAATATATTATTCATCTCACCCATCCGCCTTTGCCTTTGATCCAATCTACCAAATATAAGGCAGCAAATTCATACATCCAACTTCCAATGTCAAGCACATATCGATTGCGTCCGTCTCTGCAACATTCGGAGACGAGAGCCCCGGCAAACGTGTACAGGGCAATAATTCTTGCCCAGTTTAACCCATCGCTCAATATTTCCGATGAAACGTCATTGAAGACTTCATGGACGGCGTTCTCGCTTGTGAAACGCACGTTTACATGACTAGAAATGTCTTTGTAAAGCCGAGGGTAACTTAATTCAAGTAGCTCTCCGACTTCTTGAATGCGCTTCGAGACGAGGCTGGTGGTCTCACTGGGTTTCTCTGTAGAATTAACGAACGCGAAAGATAAACCCCGGTTCTTGATGCCATCTCGCTCAAGCTTAGCTTCGATGTAATCGTTACACATTTGCCTAGCTTGTTCAAGAATATCTGCGCAGACTTTGTTTCCTTGTAATTGGACGATTCGTCTTGTTAAGTGAATTCTTGGACCTGACATATCTTGCCAACTTAACCTCTTGACAATTTTTGGGCGCTGTAAAGTGGCCATTGCAATCGCTGTTCGGTTTCAACGGACCTCAAATACCGTGAAGTATTAATCCAACAGCCTTGAGTTCACAGGATCAAAGGGGAAAGGAATTAAATGCAAATTCTTTTACGTCTATTTACGTTCATGTTAATATACGTGCTTACGACATGCTTCAGCGTTCTTATAATGATTATTTAAGGCACTTAATAAAGACAACAGTAATTCATTATCGGATTGGTTGGTTGTTTTAAAAACACACCCTCATGCCCCGGACCACCCGACAGCCGGATGAGGGTACATTTCGGGGGCTCAAGTGGCTCCCGCCTAGCGGGAGAAAAAAGGAGAGGGGTCGGGGGAAATAACCTTCCCTTTTTTAAGCCTGCGTGGCAGGCGTCAATTGGAAAAACCCTAATCTTCTCCCTTTCGCGTTTTTCGTTCCTTCCCCCGTAAACGTTCGTGGGGGACAGCGCGCAACGCGCGTGACGAAGCACCAAGAGCGTCGCGTCGTCTGCGTTGGAGGTTTCTGCCGCCCCGATGAAAAGAAAGTAGTTAGGGAAAAACGCGCAGTAAAGATTTTGTGTCAATAGCTAATTTGATAGCATCACTTGGCAGGACCAGTGTTCGGCCTTTACTCTTGCAGGAATTCGCTGGACTTGACTAGACCCCGAGGGGGGTACTCCCTACAGTGGCCTATACGGGGAGGCTTCGCGCGAAAGGGGTACCTTTTTTCAGGCTTTATTTTTAGTTGTATGAAATGGTAGGGAAATCTGTCATTTCCGACTGCAAAAAAGCCCAAAGGGCTAACAGATGCATTTAATGGTTGTGAAATAGCAGAAGAAACTTTCTGGTATTGTGGTTTATTCATATTTTAAAGTCCGTCCATTTACAACAGTTTAAGGAATGCGTAAGTTTAAACTAGGTATCTGAAAGGGGTACCATTTGTAAATGGAAGGCATACGAAATTAAAGGGGTAACTTAGTTTTCTGCCAAAATGGTATATAAAAAGGTGAGGGGTTGACCCTCGTGGCGAAGCACCCCCCGCCGGAGATTAAGATTGGCGTAGAGCTAGAAAACTTAACACAAGTACTAACATCGAATAAGCAGCGAGAGGTACGAGATTCAATTAAGAGGGCAATCTTCGCGCAGAGGTGCGCCATAATATATCACGAAGGTCGTGAGAACCAGGCTTTAAAGGTGGGGTAAGATAATAAACCATATCTGATTTCCAACAACTTTCACTTTCAAAACGAAGTCAACTATTGGTATTAAGAAACCTTTGTTATGAAAATGAGTTTTAATCGCATCAGAGCAAAAACAGGAGACTTGGGCAACTCGGATGTTGCCTTAACTTCCCTGAACCTCGAATTTTTTCCAAAGAACAGCATTGAAAACGACTTGTGCTACCTTAGTATTCAAGACTGTGTATCCTAACATGTGTTTTTAACTGAGCGAAAAGGAGAAACTGAGTGAAAAACTGCGAAAAAAGCTCTGCTCACTCTTTGGTTCTCGATTTGGCTCAAACCGGAGTACTTTCCCGGCAAGAAACGTTTTACGCCCATAAGTTAAAGCGAGCTCATTCATTTAGAACGAATATGGTGAAAACTAAACCGGAGGGAGAGGGATCGAAGAAGGACTTTCAAGACAGGTTTTGCCGGTTTACAAGTTTATTAACATGGTGCTTTGGAATTATTGTATTTGCTATAACAAGGACTTGAAATTACCCTACTAGCAGATCGTTTCTTTCTTGCAAGGTTTTAAACACGTACGAAGTTGTTTGTGCCACCTATATTTCGCGTAGTAGGCGCCAGCAAATAATGTTAAAACCCTTGCCAGAAACGAACGCTCTGCTGGCAGGGTAACTTAAAAGGAAATATTGTTAGAAAACTATGTTTTCCTGCAAGATATACTTACAGGTTTTTAGAACAACTGCTGCAAAAATATTGTTTTTACATCTAGCAACGATATCATCTCTGATAATGTGTTAGAAAATTATTACACTATATTAAAACAGATTCTAACAAAATATGTTACGCTCGAAGTCGTGAAAAAGTTCTTACCCTTCTCCCGAGGCATTCAGATAAGACGGATTGCTCGGAAAAACGGATTAGACGAAATGGTGCTTAAAGGCCCCACTCTCCATTTCGTGCCGCTCAACACTATCTGACTACCCAGTTTCCACTTGATCGTAAACCACGGAGTTGTAAGCAGAATCAAAACGCTGTTTTCACTAGATCGCAAAGTTCTACGCTTCTGATTACGACTCCAACTCCGTCACTAGTGAAAACCAGTCTTTACTGAAATTTGAACACCGAGGAAAACGTGATTGAGAAGAAAATTTGTTAGTCTACAGTCAAACGGAGCTTCGATGTAATCGTTACACATTTGCCTAGCTTGTTCAAGAATATCTGCGCAGACTTTGTTTCCTTGTAATTGGACGATTCGTCTTGTTAAGTGAATTCTTGGACCTGACATATCTTGCCAACTTAACCTTTTAACAATTTTTGGGCGCTGTAAAGTGGCCATTGCAATCGCTGTCCGGTTTCAACGGACCCCAAATAGCGTGAAGTATTAATCCAACAGCCTTGAGTTCACAGGATCAAAGGGGAAAGGAATAAATGCAAATTCTTTTACGTCTATTTACGTTCATGTTAATATACGTGCTTACGACATGCTTCAGCGTTCTTATAATGATTATTTAAGGCACTTAAATAAAGACAACAGTAATTCATTATCGGATTGGTTGGTTGTCTTACAAACACACCTTCTTGACACGGCCCACCCGACACCTGATGAGGGCACATTTCGGTGGGCTCAAGGGGATCCCCGCTTAGCGGTAGTAAAAAGGAGAGGGGACGGGGGAAATTAACGCTAAATGACCTTCCCCGGCCTTTGTTAGCCTGTGTAGCAGGTGTCAATTGGAAAAACCCTAATCTCCTTCCTTTCGCTCTTTTCGTTCCTTCGCCGGCAAACGCTCGTGGTGTAGAACGCACGACGCGTGACGAAGCACTGCGAGCGTCGCGTCGTCTGCGTTGGAGGCTCCTTCCGTCCTTATAAAAAGAAAGTAGGTAAGGAAAAATTGCATCATTACAGTTGATTAGATAGCACATGGTTCGTACAAGTTCAGACAAACAAATTTCAAGGATATTTCAAGGACGAATAACAGTTTTTTACGGGCTAAGATTTATTTAATAAATCTACATTTAACCCCCTTTGATCACCCGTTTGGCTAAAACACGTTTCAGACTTTGCAAAAAGACAGTAGGGTATGAATTGCAACTGCCTCTGAGGTACAGAAATAGGTTATTTGTAACGAACTTTCAGTTTTATTTCCATTTTTCTTTTAGCCCCTGAAGAAGGTTTGTTTTCAAACCGAAATATTAGGCAATTTGTTTAAAAATACATATTTTTGTTTTATTGTTTTGTTTACTTCTTTGTCGCCTTGCCGTAAGGATCAGTTTGCCGTTTCATATTTTTCTAAGGGGTTCAAACTCGGGGCGGAGCCTTCCCGTAAAAACAAAAACTTTGCTGAGTACCTCCCCAGGATTGAGTTTGATATAGACCTAGAAAACTTATCATAACACCGAATCAGCCGCGACAGGTACGTATACAATTAGCTATAGAGCGCAATCTTCGCGAAGAGGCGCACCATAATATACCACGAAGGTCGCGAACACCAGGCTTTAAAAGGAGGGAAAGATTATAAACCATATCCGATTTCCAACAACTTTCACTTTCAAATGACAATTATCAGTAAGAAACCTTCCTTTTTAATTGCATGAGAGCCAAAAAAGAAAGCTTTTAGTCTCAAAGCAGGAGACTTGGGCAACTCGGATGTTACCTATTACTTCCCTCAAACTTAATTTTTTTTCCAGAGAACAGCATTGAAACGCCTTGTGCTTCCTGAATGAATATGGTGAAAAGTACTGTAAGAGGGAGGGAGATCGAGGGGCCCGTCAAAGAAGGACTTTCACAACAGCGTTTGCCGGTTTACAAGTTTATTATGAACATAGTGCCTTGGAATTATTTTATTTGCTATGGCTAGGACTTGAAATTACCCTACTAGCAGATCGTTTCTTTCTTGCAAGGTTTCAAACATGTACGAAGTTGTTTGTGCCACCGGTATTTCGCGTTGTAGGCGCCAGCAACTAATGTTAAAACCCTTGCCAGAAACGGACGCTCTGCTGGCAGGGTAAATTAAAAGGAAATATTGTTAGAAAACTATGTTTTCCTGCAAGACATACTTACAGGTTTTTAGGACAACTGCTGCAAAAATATTGTCTTTACATCTAGCAACGATATCATCTCTGATAATGTGTTAGAAAATTATTACACTATGTTACAACAGATTCTAGCAAATATGTTACGCTCAAAGTCGTGAAAAAGTTCTTACCCTTCTCTCGAGGCATTCAGATAAGAAGGATTGCTCGGAAAAACGGAGAAGACGGAATGGTGCTAAAAGGCTCCACTCTCCATTTCGTGCCGCTCAACATTACCTGACGACCCAGTTTCCACTTGATCGTAAGTTGTAAGCAGAATCAAAACGCTGTTTTCTCTAGATCGCAAAGTTCTACGCTTCTGATTACGACTCCAACTCCGTCACTAGTGAAAACCAGTCTTTACTGAAATTTGAACACCGAGGAAAACGTGATTGAGAAGAAAATTTGTTAGTCTACAGTCAAACGGTGACTTAACTTCTTGTTCTACAAGATTTGCATTAAATAATTTTGTTTTTGGCTACAAAGAGCCGCTGTTGTCTCACTCGGATAAGTCCGGCGTGTTTATCACGGCCTGACTTTCGCGCAGAGAAACGGTGCCTCCTTCGATCCAATCACACCCAAAAGAAAATAAAAGGTATCTGAAACGACTGACTTTTAAGCTACGGTTAAACAGGCAACAAAAACGAGCAACTTCTTTTGCATTATTGCTACAAAATGAGTTGAAAGCAGTGTTTANCTAGATCGCAAAGTTCTACGCTTCTGATTACGACTCCAACTCCGTCACTAGTGAAAACCAGTCTTTACTGAAATTTGAACACCGAGGAAAACGTGATTGAGAAGAAAATTTGTTAGTCTACAGTCAAACGGTGACTTAACTTCTTGTTCTACAAGATTTGCATTAAATAATTTTGTTTTTGGCTACAAAGAGCCGCTGTTGTCTCACTCGGATAAGTCCGGCGTGTTTATCACGGCCTGACTTTCGCGCAGAGAAACGGTGCCTCCTTCGATCCAATCACACCCAAAAGAAAATAAAAGGTATCTGAAACGACTGACTTTTAAGCTACGGTTAAACAGGCAACAAAAACGAGCAACTTCTTTTGCATTATTGCTACAAAATGAGTTGAAAGCAGTGTTTAGCGCTTTACGACCAACGTTCAAACCTGTCTTGCAACAAGTCGCTTGAATACTGACTTCTGATTGGATAAAATTACGCGGGAATCACAGGAGTTACGTCACTTGCTGCAGAACAAGTTTGCCTTGTGGCCTTTTCCACAACTTGCAACAACCTGATTCAGTTGCAGTGGGTGGCAAAACGCACAACATAGCTTTTCAACTAGTTTTTAAGCAATGTTGCAAAACAAGTGGCACGTTTGCTGGTGTCCCGTTTTAGAGTACCTTTACACTGGGTTCAAGTGAGCTTGAACACCGATGCGCTTTTAGCTACGCTATATTGTAGCGGTAAGTGTAACGAGCTCTAACGTAAATTTAAACCGCTTTTACAGCTAAACAGCTTTCACTAGTTTGTAAGCTTAGCTGTGAATGGGGCATTGCATTAACTTACTTTCATTTGGAGAATTCAACACTTTAAAAGTCTCAAATTTGCTCTTTAAGCAAGAAGCATTCCCTTCAAATAGTAAACGATCCATGCTGTTTTTGTTTAAATATACTAGAAAAGATTCAAAACTTGTATTTCAAAGGGAAAGTATCCTCAATGTCACGGTACAATATTATGTTCCTTTAATAAATACACTAGGGACCCGTTTCTCGAAAGTCCCGATAATTGACGGGCCCGGTAAGCTGTCTCCGTTTACATTAAAGATCGTCTAACATGATAAAACTATCAGTTAATGAAACAAAATGGAGTAATTTGCTAGCCAGGAGCAGCGCTCTTATTCTTTATATTTCGATTTGAATATTTGATTTCGGGACTTTCGAGAAACGGGCCCCAGGACCTTAAAGGTCCTATAATTAACAAATAAAGTCACACATCCATGTTGCTATGGAATTTACACATTTTTGCCATCCATTTAGGAAACAAAGAATTGTTAATACAAAAAATTTGAAAAAATTCTAGGAAAGTTTGGGAAAATTACGTAAGGTGGGAAATTTGCCAAACATTACGAAAATCGCCAGTTACAAATAAAGAGATGTAGAGTCACGCTTACGGCAAACGTTAGATTCAAGTTGAAAAATTCTCAAAATAGAAAATGAGCGGATGCAAACAGCTCAAAACAATTCTTTTGGATAAAACTGGCTTGAATCTGCTCATTTCCGTGAAGTTACAACGAACTGTGAACGACAAGAAAAGAGAAAACTTGGCCACGTGGTACAAATTCACGTTTGCCGTAAACGTCACTCCAAATCTCTCTTATAACACGTGCCAAAACTTTGAAATAATGGGCCGGAATAGACCTTTTTAGTATTTATGTCCTATTTTTCTAACCTACACCACGTGACGTTTTCAAGGGACTTTGCCTTTTGGGCATAAATTATGCGTCATTATGCACGTAAATAGGACGGAACACAGTTCCCTGAGAGTCATGTCCTGTGGTCTGAAAAGCGAAAACAAAGCATACAAGCTAAAAACGTCTTTTGTACCTTTTTCGGAGTTTTTGCAAAGTCACGGCGGAAAATTTCAAAATTTGTAAAATTCCTTAGGGCGTGTAATTATGGACTGACGCAATAACCTATATCATGTTATAATAAATTTTTAACACTTGCCTAATATTGCTGAGGACAGGAAACCCTAACTAACCAATATAAATCAAGCGACGTAAGTTGTAAAAATTAAGGCATTAAAGTTAAGCAAAAAAGGAAAAGAAAAGGAAGAAAAACACCACCACTAGATTGAACGCAATGTGAAACAATAAGTATCGAGAAAAATAACTCACGGGCAAAGTGTATATATCTGTATTGACATTGTATGCTTGCATGTTTGGGTGAATGGGTATCCTAGCCTATACAAACTAATAATACCACGAAATACCATTTGAAGCAATACAATTCTCAGTACAAAAGGGCATTTCTCATGGTCAACTGAGAATTATCCGTCTTACACAAAAAGGAGTGGTAGAAAACACTTCATTCATGGTGGCGGCCTGATATTTGCCTTAGCAAAGGCTGCAAAAGCAGCTGCAGTTGTACGCAGTTTGGGTTCATGTTCTTTTCAGCCACATGGAGACTATAAAATAGTTTGACTAGCTTCAAAAGGCATTTTTTTGGCAACATTTCTTTGTGGTGACTAGGTTAAAACAACACATTTTTGACATCAAAATGGTTGGATATTGTGACCTTATCGCATACACTGCCCCTCCTTTCGTGTGTTCAATCCTGGGTTCAAGCCCTGGTTAAGTGGTGTTCTTTTTTTCTTTCCTTCCCCTCTATTTATTGGGCCATTTCCTTGAGCTTTACAAGGTTCTGTGAGGCACGCATTTCTGGTAATATTTGGGAAAGGTGGTTGTACATTAGGTTCAACGATATTACAGCCTCACTGATTACCACATACGGTGCATTCGACTGACCATATTCCGGAATAAGGATACATGGAATGAACTCTACAAATCAGTTTGTTTTGGCTAGTGGAAATCATTAATTTAGAGGATGGTAGCAATTCTAATGATCTAATATTTGTGATCAAAGAGATTTTTCGCAGATTCTGTGTACTCTTATTCCTGAATATAATCAATCAAACTCACCTTTAGTGTGCTGTTGGTTGGGTACGCACATTCCTCTAATCTCAACTTATTATTATGCAGCTTCTGCAAATCCTTTACTGCTTGCATCCTATGAGAATTGTACAGCACTTTTGTATTCAATTTCATACACGAGGTTGCATTTCTAAAGTTCCCTGTTGACTCGGACGCTGAGGGGGATATCTTCTCTTGCGTCCAGGGAGTGTCTTGGCAGGTTTCTTGACTTCCTTGTGAGGGTTGCTGCTTGGTGTGTAGCGAGCACACAGGATAACCAGAAGGGCAATAATTACGGCAAAGGCGATGGTACCAAGCATGATGGCCCACCAATACTTCTTTACTATTTCTTTCAGACCTGTTGAAAGTTACATATTTAATTTATTACTGTAGATTTCCGCTCAGAGTTCTCATTAAGTTTTTAAGTAGACAGCTAGGATGTAAAAGTAGGCGGTTTAGTAACAGCATGCTGTAGGCAATTTCAGGCTTTCACTCTCTCACTTTACCCTATTTCCCCAAAACGTAGATGGCTCAAATCTCCAAGTAGCCAGTTTTTTAGCCAGCTACCAGCACTTAAAATATAATAAGAACCCTGCTGCTTATAAGCGCTGGGCTTATATATCTTCATAAGGGGTTTTAGTAGGGCTTTAAAAGGAGGGACTTATTTATAACTGGAATTATAAAAAAACACGCTTTGAAACATTAAGCCATAGCAGTGCTGATGGCAGTAGGTTCTGCATTTACCGGTTGTGGCCTTGGGCTCGTGATTTACAAGTCAATTACAAGCTTTTCTCTTGTTCTCCTAACATCCTGTGTGGGTTATCATGCCGGCAAACCCAAAGAAAGTGTGGTCTATTGCTTAAATATATCCTAGGGCTTTTAGGGAAGGGGTTATAATCATATGTATTTTTTTGTTTAACCTTAAGTCTCAATATCCAGATACAAATTGTCCTAGCCAGGGACTAGGCTCCTCATTGGGGGAAAAAGGAGAAAAAAATCCGCATGGGCAAAAACGAAGTGAATCGGAAGGTAGTCTGGGGAGGTGTTTGCCTTTTTCCCCCACTGTGAAGCCTGGTCCCAGGCTAAAATTCTCCAGACTGTTCTCCATACATTTCCTTAAGAATTAGTTGAGACAATTAGATTAATGATCAAAACATTTTTACTTGGTGATCATTTTATTATTTCACATGACCATTTGTGCTGATTATGTATTGGTATTGTTATGAGAAAATTGATGCTGGTCACTCTTGGGACTCAAAGGGAGGTAGATGAGCCTTTCGCTGGGGGGGCTTATTAGTAGGGAGCTTATAAGCCACAGGTAATGGCATTTATATATATTTATATACTTTTTTCAGAGCACTTAGAGGCAAAAATCTCATGAACTGCCACTGTGAAGCTAAGCTGTTTCCTCATGCATGAGGTGTCCTTAAAGCCTTACAAGTTTCAGGAACTTAGCATGGCTAAACCCTGGTACAAGAAGGTAAATTGAAGAACCAAACAAAATAGGTGACATAATTCCTCTTAAAATTGGAAAAAAAATGAGTAAAATGACCAAACACAAAATCATATTATGTCAGGGTGTTAAGTAGGCATGGGAGATTGGAGAATTCTCTGTTTACTACACAGAATTCTCCGGCTAATGTGCGATAGCCTGTGACTATTTTTCATTCAAGCATTCACAAAATTATATTTCTCCGGTAACGTTACACCTTTCTCCTGCTACTAGAATTCTTAACGAAAACCCTGCATATTTTACCAACCTTCAACAGTAAAAAACTGTTGTTTCAGTCGTGCTAAAGGGCCAGCCATGTCTACCCGGCGACAAACAGCAAACACATCACAATATCCTTTCAGATCATCACATGGTGATCCTGGTACAAGTTTCAGGTTCTTGAGTTGACTTGGTAACTAAGAATGAAAAGAGTAATCAACAATCTGCAAAAAGTGAGTATGTTCCACCTAGAATTTCCCAGCAACATGGAAATTTTGCCACTCAGACTGGATTTCACTCCAGTAAGTAACAACCCAAAGTACTGAAATTTCACAGAAACTTACAGGAGTTGAAGACAGCAGGATGAGGTTAAACACAAATGTTTATGTCAGCATACAAAGAAAGTCAAGTCTGATAGCCTGGGACTTGCTGTTGGGCTAGTGTTCTTAACTTGTACGACAAGCAAATGAATTTTTCTACGAAACTCATATTACAGAAAAACTGTAATCAATCCTGCTTATCAAAATTTATTTTTCAGGCTAATTAAAATGACCCTTAGGCTAGTATATGCTAGCTGCAGCTTGCCTGAATGGCAAACTGTAAAGGTCACTTTCTTTGCATCCTGGCCAGTGTTCTCCCTAAATTTTAGCAGGTAGGTGACCATTCATGGCCAGTGCGGTGGCAGTAAGGCAGAAAATAAGCGCCAGAGGTGCACTTTGTATTGTGTAATGTCATTTAATGTTTCTTGTGTAATTATTATTCCCTATCATGAAGTATACACAGCAAACATTGGACTTCACAAATTAAACAACACAATAAACGAAAATCTACATTGATTGGAGATCAGACCACATAACATGATCAGATCACCTATGGAAGGCTTTGGCGCTTTGAATTGATTACAGTCAACGTTCTCTAAGATGGACACTTCTAGGATTGGCACTGACTGTCCATCTTAAAGAGAGTAAAATAAAGGGACTAAAATAAGGAGGAACCAACAGCAACGTGTGTGTTTAACTGAGATGTCTGTTTTGACGGGAGTCAAGTATATTCACTATAATGTACAGGGGCGGATCCAGGATTTTTTTTAGGAAGGGGTGCAATCGTCTCTTGCTCTAGTTCAACACCAATAAACTACATAGTTTTTTCTTTTTGCAGAATACCAGTTGTATTAGAAAACCACAGGTCATCTCGGGGGGGGGGGGGGGGCGACCCCCCTCCCCTCCCCCCTTTGACCCCCCCCCTACGTATGCGCAGTCCCGTAGAAATAATGTTATACAGTGCGTGTACCTATGTACTTATCAAAACATTTACGGGCAACAATTGAAAAAAATTTGAACTTACTTAACCCAGATTGTTTGTTTGTTATGGAGTGGGTGGTTCACGTTCTTTTGTATGTCAAATAAATAAACAAGCATTTTTTTTTTTTTTTCTGGAAGCGCAGTTTGATGTAAACCGCCCCTGGTCTCGGGGGGGGGGGGGGGGGGGGAGGGTGCGCAGCCCCTGCACTCTCCCCCTAGATCCGCCCCTGATGTATGCGCAGTACCGTAGTAATAATGTTATGCAGTGCGTGTACCTATGTACTTATCAAAACAGTTACTGGCAACAAATGCAAAAGATTTGAACTTACTTGACCCACGCCTCTAGACAGTAAAGATCTCATTATTACAAACAGTTTGCTTTTTCCTTGCATGGAAACTTTTACATTCCCCTAATTTCAACCCACTTAACATGGACGGCCCGTTAATATGGACACTTTCTGTGACCCCCTCAGTGTCCATATTAAAGGGTTTGACTTTACTTTATTGTATCATTACAGTGTACCTGAGCTAAGCGAGATGCTGGAGTGCATGCACCGTTCTGTTTGCAACACAAATCACAAAGTTCCTCTTCAACTGTACAAGAACACTCTTCCATGTCATACAATTCACAAACTGAAGTTGAACACTGTCCGGAATAGCAAACACGACGACCCTGGTCACAAAGTGTTTTATTAACCAGTGGCTCTGGGGTGTCACAGGTAACTGACAATCCACTGCATGTTTGGTTCTTGGTACAGTCTGTTGCTTTGGAACAGATGACAGATGGACCTGCATATTTGCAATCACTCGTACAACAAGGTCCTGAATTTTAACAGAAAATTAATACTTCACTTTGAAACCCATATTGTTACTTTAACAGCATGCATGATGCACTGAGCTTAAAAGCAAATTGTACTAATACTTCAGTGATTTTGCTCACTTTTTGAAGATCATATTCATAGCATAAACACCTCAACTTGGCGATGCCAGAACAAAAGGTCACATAACTTGTAAATTTAAAAGAAAGACTTGTTATGTAACAATATTTTTGAAGTGTCATTCCACCATCATATAAAAAGTAGGCTAACACTAAGGAACAAAAAATTTGTAAGTCTTGAATTTGCTTGTTGCTTCAAGTTAGATTGATATTTTAAATACACATATATAGTTTTAGTTGACTGCATATGAACACAACAACAGACACCAATCCGATTCTCTCTAGTCAAGTACATGAACCCCTGCTGTTTATCTTTCAATGAAGTTGCCCTTCATTCCTGAATAGGAGCTAATCAAGTACATTGCACCTAATTTGCCTTATCATCTATAACCCCACTTTTTAAAAAAATGAATGAGTCAAACTGACTTCAAAGGGTAATTAAGTTAAATTATTTTCTAAACACTCAGGCTCTGATCACTATTGGTAAAGTCTTGGTGCTTATCAACAGCAGCAAGAACTAGCCAGAAATTGATATAAAGAAGAAAAAAGTCAATGGATATTGCACTTGATATGTGTTAAGTTTGTCAGTCAAAAGCCAAGACTTTTGGCCAGGCAATGATGGTCTCCAGAGAAAGCTGATAAGTGAGTTTTTGACCTGCAGGTACAAGACCCATGCTAGGAGCATGAGGGCTAGCTAATTTACTTGTATGACTGCAGTGTTCATTCTAGAAATTGTCCAAAGTGGGGCCGGTGTCCCCTTGCTTTAAAAAAGTGGGGACATCGGACTATTGCAGGGAGGGGACATTTTGTAAAATTCATGGACGACTTGGAATCAACATTACTTTAACACCATTTTTATTGCAGGCTTTCTAAAAGATAGCTTTCAGAACGACAGTTGCAGCCTTCTCCCCTTGGATAACAGCCTGTCCGCCATGCTGTGTGCCAGGTTTTTGCTTTGTACTTCGTCGGTGATTGCCTTTTTGTGATCTCTGCTTTCAGCATGCCTATTTAAATGTTGATGCTCTGAAATTGCTGGCTTTCTCACTCATAGAATTCTTTTTGCTGTGCTTTAAGCAGGTTCTGCAGAACATTTTTCCTCCTTGTTCATAAAGCCTGTTTTATTTGCCAGTCAGCGACTGTTTCAGCTCAAGGTTTGGCTCTTGCCTTCTTTGATCTTGGTTTGCCCAATTCGCTTCATTCTTGTTGTTCTTTCTCTAACTCTTTATCACTCTCTGTGGCTTCCAGAATATTTGCTGGCTCATCAGATCAGCTTGTCCATCATCAACATCATTCGAAGAAGATGTTGAATTATTAATCATGAAGCACAATCTGCTCTGTTTCAATTTTGTCGTCATGTTGAAAGCATGACAATTGACTGATATCACAAAGTAATAAGTCTAGATCATCCCAGGCTCCTTGCGATGAAATTTTGTTTTCATTTTTAGTATTTTACAAAAATCATTGCTTCAAAAAAAAAAATGCCACACTGACGCAGAAAAACAATAATTGTTTTTGTGCGTCAGTGTAGTTGTAAAAATGAGCAAATGGCGCAAAACTGTGCTCTAGAATGAACACTGTGACTGCATGATACATACCTTGGCTTGGACTACACAGATATCGTACTGGAAGTGTGCATTCATTGGCTTCTCCAGCAGCAATACAACAGTCCTCCTGACATGTAGTTTTATCTCCACAGTCACACTGCTCGCCCTTCTCCACTATTTTGTTTCCACATATTGACTGATCTGCACTTGTGAAGCAATCTGGTCGTTGTGAGCGTTTTCGGTCAATATTTTTTTTGATACTGTCTTTACTACAACTTGAAAACCTGTCATTGTTTTCAAGGATTCCTGATGTTGCTTTGTCAAACATGATATAATTCCCCTTAGGATCTCCTGGGGCACACTGTTGCGTTGCAGGATCATGCTAAAAAATCAATATCATTAACAATTTGATGAGAGTCTATTAAAATCTCCAGTGTGCAAAAAAGTTGTGTCCTAAAGCCTGCATGATATATATGGGACCGGTGTATTTTGTTGTTAGCCTACTCAATAATCTGTTCTTAACTTGCCAGATGGGAAAGTGAATTTTTATTGGAGAATCCAAACTACAGAAGAACTGTAATCAATCCTGGTCATCAAAAAAATTGGGGTGGGGAAGGCGGGGGGGGGGGGGGGATAAAAAACTGAAAAGATTTTTAGGTTAAATAGGGGGGGGAAAAAAAACCTTTATGGTTTACAACTAAAAGGAAAAAAAAGAAAAATAAAAAAAAAAAAAAATTAATTTGGCCAAATGCACTTAACAAACAATCGGGTGTTACCAGGGGTAAAAAAAGTTTGTTCTTCAAGCCTTTATTAAAATTGTGGGGCCGGTTTTTTTTTTTTTTAGCCACCCTAATAATTTTTTCTTAACTTGCCAGAAGGGAAATTGAATTTTTTTTGGAGAAACCAAACTAAAGAAAAACTGGAATCAAACCTGGGCAAAAAAAAAATTGGGGGGGGGAAGGGGGGGGGGGGGGGGGACTAGTAAACTGAAATGATTTTCAGGTTAGTACGTGGTAGGTACAAAATCCTTGATGGTTTACACGTACAAGGAAGATACAGTAAATTGAAGAAAAGAAATCATTAATTTGGCCAAATGACCTTAACTAGCATCTGGTGCTTTGATTTAACTTCACTTTTCAGTCTTTTTATGTAACTTCACAGTTCAGTACGCTCAGACCCATCTACAGCTGGCTTCCCTAGGGAATTTATAGCTGCACAGTGTTTTTACTTTGGCAGAGCGCGATGTTAAGGATATAGGAAGTGGAACTGAGATCTCGTCATGTGCAATTTATTTATGACAGAAATTATGATCGAAACATGGAGTTTGATGAAAAGAAATAGCATACAGGTTCTTCATAACAGAATTTGAAACAGGATATTGGCGGAGATGACCTCTCGTACTAGCAGACTTCTGGTGAAGACGTTAAGATGTCTGTTACTCATAAGGAGAAAAGTAAGGGTATTTTTATGGAAGGGTATCCGGAAAAATATAATTTCTTACTATTCCCCCGCATTCACGCTGACATAGCGTCTTGTTTCATAAGGTTTGTTAAACTCTAGTTAACTTAATTGAAGCACTCTGTTTTACAAAATGGGGATAACGTAACGTTTTTGACATTTTGTATGACCTCTGTTTTTGAGAAGCATGAAAATGTAAATATTTATTTTGTGACTCGTGAAATGCAAAATTCATGATGAGACCCCCTCTTGCCCCCCTCTTCTGAATTACACCATTAATAGGGGCTTACTAAATAAATCCTTAATAAGGGACTGAGGAACTTTACACCCTTTTATGCGATAACATATAGCTGTGGTCGGCTTTAGTAGTCACTGAATTTTCTTTTAAGGCGACTAACCACAGATGTCCATGAAAGAGGAAGATTCTTAATTGGCAATAGCGGCTTAGGCAGTAAAAATGCTCAACATGGATGCAGACTGAGTTGGTATTTTAATACAACCGTTAACTGTTTAAATGTTTAATTTAGTAAAATGTAAACAATTAGCAATTATTGTATATAAGGTCACTAATCCCTAAATTAACAACACAATTTTTAAAATGTTTTGACCTCCCATGATTTCTTCTCTCTACTGAATAACTGACATTTTGCATTTAAATTCTTCTCGTGGGAAAAGACTAAAAAAACCCTAAAGCTTACCTCGGAGCCAAATCCATGACCGAGTTCATGAGCAAATGTTATTTCTGATATCCTCGGAGGTGTAAATCGTCCGTAAAGCTTCATTGTCACAACCCCGGTGTTATAGCTTCGTACCTTTCCATTATTATAATCATTATATTTATCGCAAATTCCTCCAGCCGCGTTGCCCTCACCATCACCTATCCACGCAAGACCCAAAATGCCACCCTCAAAATCACGATCGGTGAACAGAAACGCTTCGCAAACCGATTCGTGATTCATGGTCGAGAAATAGTCCAACAAAGTGTCTATTCCCACGTTCTTGTCCTTAACTTGGGCTGGAAGTTTATCGGGAAGTGTATTACCTTTATCGGTAAGCCCTTTATCGAATGCAACAACGGTTTTCACGCGGAACGTTATTCCGTATGGACTGTAATAATCGGTGGTGTTAAACTCGCTCATGTAGATGATCTGGGCCGCTTGCACTTGCTTCACAAGTTGAAAGATGGCTTTTGTTTTCCCACCGAACAATTCAGTGAAAAAATTATCGGCGTAAAGTCCAAGTGTGCAAACGTTTTTCCGGTAATCTTCAGTTTGCCTGCGAACGCGATTTTTGCCTTGAGTGGAAAGTGAGCGACGAGCTCGTTCTGCTGGCACCTGAATCGAGGGAACTTTTTCCTTGATGTCAGAAAAGTCATGGTGATATTCCAGATCTCTGTCCTTGTAGATCACTGATGGAAAATCTTGCTTCTCATCAAAGTACCACGAAGATGGATCAACGTAATAACTCTCCGTTCCACTCAATATTTTCCCGTGGAATCCATCTTGTTTGTCAATAACACCGTAAACATCAGAGCCTGGAATTCCCTCAACATGTCCCCTCACGACAGCATCGCGATCGAAAGGAATCGATTTGCCATCTCCGGTAAGGAATTTGGCATCGCCTGTGAAGATGTCTCGGTCTGGTCGTAACTTGAGCCGATGAAACTTTCCGAAGGCGGAAAACGCGAATTTCCCATCGCTGTGGCTTTCAACTGCTCGCCGATGAACGTTGTGCAGGGAGCTCGGGTCATAGTAAAGAGGTTCGTAATGTGAGATAAATTTTCCTAGACGTCTACCAGTAACACACTCATATATGTAAGGCACAGTAGCCAAAATCGAAAGAAAATAAAGTAATTGGTGAGCCATCACTCGTTTTCTACAAGTCATGAAATAAACTCGTCCCGCCCATGAAAGGGACGCGTTGGTCACGCATTCGTAAGAGTGCCGATATAATCGGAAAAAATCGGAAGATCTCCGAACTAACACGAGCTCCCACGAAAACCTGACGATCATGAACAGAGGATTGGGCACTACAACAGAATTTGACATGGCGGCCACGCGGATAACACAATTTCATCTTGCGTTCACTGTAAATTCTCGCGTATTTGGTGAGTGAGAATAATATTTGCATATTTTTGCTATCGGTTGAAAATCTAACATTCTGATAGTTTGTAAATGGCAGCTGCATAAGACGACATTTTCAAGATGGACAGCAGCTCTGCAAAACCATGTGTGCGCTTCATTTTTTCATCCCAACTCGCGGTCCTTCAGCAGAGTGGCCGGATTAGAGGAGATTTCTAACGAAGGTAACAAGGTCATTTTATGAAATGAAATCATCAGATATATGATAACATAACTGCATAACTGTTGGGACTCAAGTGGGACCCTGTTCCTTTTCTAGGCAAACTGTAAACATACCCCAAACGTAACAGACCTTGACCTTCTTCAACGGGCTATAACATTATAATATCCGTACCCCCCTCCCCTCCCCTGGTTGAGGACCAATGGAATTCTTTAGGGGTAAGTTATGAAAATTGACGCTTTCTTTATGGGTAGAGTAAAAGCAATTTCAGAATACCTGGCCACATCATTTACGTTTGTCGGACGATTTTCAAGAACGAGGTATAACACAATAGGCACTTTTGTTATTCAATGATATGCAAAGAAATGGCTGGGTATTCTGAAATTTAGCCAAGTAAAAAAATATATATATAATTCTTTGGGGATGAAGCTTCATTTTTCACGAAATTCTTCAGCGAGTAAACATATTAAGTCAACTCCCATTATAGCGGACAACCTTGGGACCGCGGTTTTATGTCCGTAATAGCAAGAGTCCCTAATAGCGGGGTGGGAGAAAATAAAAAGGTTCTGTTATCAAACAATAATAATTTATAAATAACATTTGCTATGTTCAGAAGGTTTAAATGTGCTCCTTATGTGAATAACAGCACAATTAATCAATGAAGTTCTTTGATGAGGGGGGTATTGGGGTATATTAGAAACCGCAAAACCGAAGAAAAAAATCATCCAAAACTGCAAAACCGAAAAAAATTCGGCCAAAACCGAAAACCGCATACAAAGCTGTCAAAAACCGATACAATGGTGGCAAGTGGGGCATACAGAGCAAACTAAACTAACACTAATTTCACCAAAGTATTTGTGAATGTCATGGACTTTGTCTGAAGCCTTCGTATCTTTTTGTGTCTGCTTTAATCATAGGCTTTGTTTCTGCCGCTCTCTCGAGCCCAGACTTTGCAGCTCAATTTCCGAAAAGCCGCTAGTTATGGAGCCTAGTTAACTTAGGAGAATTTGCACACAAGTCCTCTTTAGAATTGCAATTTTGCAGTCGCAAAAAGCTATAGCTCTGGAAACTTCAATCGAAAATCTCTAATCGAACATTACCATTTGATAACTCCCCTCCTCGTAAAAAAAACGCAACACAATCCACAATTGCTTCTTCCATTGCTGGCGTGGGAGGCACGTTGGAAGCCATAGCTCGCAAACTGACCAAATGGTCGCCCTGGTCTGCGAGGTCAAAGGCTCGGCGGGCGTCAAGGGAGATGCTTGATCCCCTACCATGACATTTATTTTGTCATGCATTCCTCTAAATAACTTTGGCGTTTTGCGGCTATTCGAGATTAGTGCTGCTCAAATCGAACAGAAACCGGAACCCAAAATAGGCCAAATAGGAAAAACCAAAAACCACATCGGGTACCAAAACCGAAAACCGCTAGTATTTTTCACGAAAACCGAAAACCAGATGCTAAAAAACGAAAAATCCGCAAACCGCAATGACCACCAAAACCCAAAAACCGAAGTCTTTTGCAACAAAAACCGAAAAACCGATCTAAAAAATAGCCAAAACCACAAAACCGAAGTCTTTTGCAACAAAAACTGAAAAACCGATCTAAAAAATAGCCAAAACCGCAAAACCGAAGTCTTTTGCAACAAAAACCAAAAAACCGATCTAAAAAATAGCCAAAACCGCAAAACCGAAAATCCCAATGCCCCCCTCTTTGATTTTTGTGTTGAACAACAAAATGTAAAGGAGTGAACTGAATATGTAATAGTAAACAATTTCTCATCAGAAACGGTGTCTGATACCACATTTAGACATGTGTTGTGCTTTTCAAAATGGGACAACGACAGAGGACTGGCAATAATAGTGCTGCATGCAGTTACTATTTATAGACCCGAAACTTGGACAAACAAACTGAAATTAACATTAGCGAATTCCTCAGTTTTGTCTGACTTTTGTCATTTAAATGTCATGTTGGTCTGTCTTCTGTCATTGGAAATAGAAAAATGACAAAACTCAGCCAAAAATTGCAAATTAGTCACTCTGACTCTCAAAATTAGTCACTCTTGGTGGGAAAAGGATTAACAGAGGTGGCGGCCTGGGGCTTGAGATTCCAGTTATTTATTAGTTATATGGCAACCCAAAATATCTTGCTAGACTTAATGAACTTATCAACAGTGCTGAAACTGCTAAGCGGTTGTTGAGAATAGAACACGTGGGTGTGAGCTCTCCTAAAGAGGTGGGGAAAAAAAGCACAAGCTCAAGTGAAGAAGTGAGGATGACTGTTAACAATTTAAGGAATCTAAGTGAAAATAAACATTCCGGATATCTTTTGAAATGTATTTTGGCAAATGATGAACAGCAGACTCTAATTTATATAATTATGTTATGAAAGTCAAAACAATAGAATTGTCACTTTGGTACCAATAAAGTGTCCGTAATTCCGTAATAGTAAGAGTCTGTAAAAGCGGGAGTCATTTCCAGTCAAACCTCTGTAGCTTTTGCTGGGGATCTGAATTTTGTCCATAATAGCGGGCGTCCACAAGGCGGGAGTTGACTGTCAATTATTCTTAATGGGTAGACTTACATTCTTCAGGGGTAACCCATATTCCTCATGGGGAAGACCCATATTTTATGAAAGTCTTCAGGGATGAATGCGATTTTATGAAATCTTCAGGGGTAAAAGGAAAAGGTTAATCCTTAACTTTGGTGTACTGATATTAAATGGAATAGACTAATGGCTAGAAACAGTCGAATCTCCTCGTTCCTCGCTGCTAGGAACGTGTGCCTTGACAACAGAAATGTTTAAATGATGATGTAAATGAATGGGTACATGTTCAAGTTCATGTTTTTCTTGGTCCAGGGCTCGAAATTCCTTAGGTTGCCTTTTTGTGACCAGTTGGAAGAATCTTATCTAGTCACCGTGCAGATGCAAATTTTCAGTTACCATTTTCTTCAACGAAAAGAATATTTGGGGTTGGTTGAAAGTGTTTAAAATTGTTTAATACATAAATTCACCTAGTTGAAATAAATGGATGTCATTGAAATTTAGTGTATGAAGTTCCTTTAAAATGGGGTCTGGATGAGATCAATAGTTTATGCCTGTTAATTTTATTGATTTTATATTTTTATTCATTCTTATGTAGAAAAACTGAAGAACCTAAGTGAGAGAGGTCTCAGATTTTCAGGAGACAAGTCCAAGACGATTGGACAGCCAACCCCAGATTCACATCCACACCTAATGGAAGAGGATGAAAGTAAGTATTACCGGTAAACTGTGCAAAGAATAAATTGTTGCAATATGTAAAAGTTGCCAAAAACAAATACTCAATCTCAAGAATCTCTGTCAGAGACTGCATGCAAGAGCATTTTGAATGAAATGAGAATTTCTTCACATAACTAGGCACACTTGAGTGCAATGAAAAAATAACCTCTTAATGTAAATATGCAGGTAAGGAGCTTAGAGCAGCACTTTTGTACTATATAAACCCAATACACCTTTTTACTGATACCACGGCCATATTGAATTACTTCAATTTAAGGAGTATTATGGATGCCCAGTGGGCATGAGCACCATCTGTTATACTCGCTTAGTATTAGAAATATGATCTTTCACTTTAAATTTCTTGAGAAAAAGGTAATTATTATTACATTCAAACACAGCACAACAATCTTTTTTGTCCATTACAATCTTATGCTACAAAACTTTAAGAGAAAATGTCCCCGAAAGGCATGCGTTAATACTGAGCAAATACATTGGAATGTGCTCATGCCCCCTGGGCATCCCTTAATACTCCTTAATTCTAACTAATTCAATATGGCCACCATATCAGTGAAAAGGTCTATTAAATTTGATATTTTGCTTGGGATACTCTATAGGAATTTATGGTAAATAATTGTCACAGCCCTGATGCGGCACTAATTCAAGGAATTCAGTATAACTAAAATAACACCATGAAGCAAGTCTAACAGAGCACTGGAAAATTGTTTTCACTAAAAAACAATGTTCTCAGTCAGTTCAAAGTGATTATATATTAATCACCGCTTGCCCATTTAGTTCTCTCTCCAAAATTCTTGCAAGATGTAGTTAATTGGTACCATTACAAAAAGCTTCTGTTTGTTACTGTAAAATTGCTGTAGTGTGCAGATAGAAAATATACCATAAAAACTATAAGAAAAATATCTTTGTCACGTCCAATGTTTTTAACAAAAACACTGCCCTCAGTGTTTACATTTGAGGCACAGAAAATTTACTTGAATATTAAGAATGGTGGCCCTTATTATTAAGTATTAAAAAGTGCCACAGTACTTAATATTCAAATCAATATGGTAGCAAAAATAAAATCACTGGCACTGAAATCAAACTACCAGAATTTAAAGCCAAAATTTAAATTCTTGGGAAAACCCCCCTGAAATATTGAATTTTAAACCTCCACAAATTCATTTGCATGTCGCTATAACCATAAAACTGGAGTACCTGCCCCCCTTGTCCTGGTCTTTTTCTAGGGAAAAAATGAAACCTGTTCTTTAACTGGTGGCTGCTGTTTGTCACAGATATGTTTGCAAATTGAAATGAAGCTGTATAAAG